AAAAAGATGGCGAAAGCAATCTAATGGAGATTTCTGATTTAGGGTAGAAGGGTAATTCTTTATTTCCAAAACTGCTATCTTATTTAATAAATCAGGTATTTTTTCTTTGTTTTTAAGATAATGAAGAAAGTCAAAAGAATGATTCAACAAATGAACTATTAGAGCCCCTACCAGAGTGTTATGTGGAAACCATTGTCACATATAGAGAAGATTTTGTTCCAGTTACTGACAGGATCCTCGACTATTTGAAATCATGGACTGGTGGCCCTGGTCCAGAGACATGATTGACTGCTTGAATTCTGAAAACCACTACCTTCATTCAGCATTTAAATTTAATAGATGCCTTGATTTCCATTTTATGTTTGTAAAAAATATATACATCTAATTTAGTTTTATTGTAAGATACAATCACTAGTAATATGTAATAAATATTTCTTTGAAGGAAACTAACTTGCATATAAAAGAAATGTTTCTTTATATTTACATGAGAGAAATGATAAAATGAAAGTTCACATATGGCTTTCCTAAACTTGGTTTTTTGAAACAGTTAATGTAACTTAGTATTTCTTTCATGTCACTATTAGGCACAGCTTTAGTGGTTCCTTTAAGATTAGATCAGCAAATCTCCATATTCAGTTTGGGATTCAAAGTAGCCCTCTGAGTACAGTTGGGTACTGGGTAAGTATGTTATTAATTAGATTATAACTCCCAAATATGGTAGATTGGACCTTTTCTTTCCCCACAACCCCACTTCAATAAGCTGGTCTGTGGACCTGTTCTTTAGGACTAATCCATATACCCCTCATGACTTTGGAGGCATGTGTTACATGCCAGCTATGGCTGATGCTATTCAGAGAAATTATTATCTGGTCCCCGTCACATGGTCCCCAGCAACTCTACCTGAGAGTCGCTGGCTGAGGATGCAAAGTCAGGGTGACGTGATTGGTGATGCAGCCGTCTCCTCACTAGGTGATTGATGGTGCACCCCTCTCCTCACTGGATGATTGATGGTGCTCCCCTCTCCTCACTGGATGACTGGTGGTGCTCCCCTCTCCTCACTGGATGACCGGTGGTGCACCCCTCTCCTCACTGGATGACCGGTGGTGCACCCCTCTCCTCACTGGATGACCGGTGGTGCCTCCAGTGGAGGGGCTCCAGCAGACCTTCAGCTTAGCTTTCCTTGGGACTTGGCAGATATACCTAACCTCCCGTCCCTCTCTCATTTCAGCCCAGAGCTTTCCTGAACTCACCCATCTAGCATGGCTACCTGGATGTCTGCCTATTTCAGATTTATCCATAGCTTAAGCTGCTGCCACCAACCGCAAGCCTGTGCTTCCTTCTGTTCTTTCTCGGAGAATACTCAGTTCAAATGAGAAACCTACCGATGTAGACTTCTCTTTCCCTCTTCTCATTCCTCCTGTCACGGGGTCGTGTCATTTCTACCTCAAATATTCTACTTCATGCCCTTCTCCCTGTTCCCTTTGCCACTCCTCCTGCTTTGTCCTCCATCTCCTTTGCTTGTGTACCCTCAACTCGCTTGGGTCTCCTTGTCTTTACTTTCAGTCCCCACCAACTGGTTTCTATACTGTAAGCTAGTATGACTTTTTTGAAATTAGTATTAAATTTTTGTCAAAGCAACAAATGCATTAAAATTCAGCACTCAAAAGTTTGTAAAAAAAAAAAAA